CACTTCTAAAAGGATCAGTCATGGGAGGTCATGTGGCAACTAGGCTGACCTAGGTTTGTAAATTCCTGCTCTATGACTCAGCTCTGCCCTGTGACCTGGGAAATGGCCCTACTTTTTCCTCAGCCTTCCTTGCCTTATCTGTCGAGTAGAGATAACATTTTCTACCTCATTGTGCTTTTGTAAGAATGGGGTAGTATCTGTAAAGTACATAGCACCGTGCCTGGTTCCTTAGCAACTTCCTTGCTATCAGAAGAAAGCTCCTTTAAGGGTTTTCATAATAATCTTTTTGAAAAAGTAAGGCTCAATTTTGAAAATTTGACAACATTTATGTGTTAAAATTCTTCTTTTTTTGTGTGGGGGTGAGGTTTTTGCTATAGGGCACGTGCAGTCACCAGAAAGGCAGAAAGAGAGAGACAGAAAGTGAAAAATCGCCCCCCAGGAGGAATGCCCAGGCTGCAATCCCTTCTCCATTCTCTTCTCGGCATCTTGGGCAAACACGCACACATCCACGGCATGAGTTTAAGCCATTGGGTCTGAGACTCGAACCGCGGTCGACTACATGGGAGTCCAGCCACATAGCCTTTATGCCAACTTCTGGTCCCTAGTTAATACATTTTTAATTATATGTGTGCTATGGTTTAAATGTGCCCTCTCCCCAAATTTACATGTTAGATTTAGTTAAGTTAAAAACACTGGTATTATGTAATTATGATCTATTTTAAAGAAAGACAATGCAGTCTACCAAATAAAAGGTTTGGGAGTTTTTTGTTTTGTTTTGTTTTTGTTTTACTTGTACTCACAGCAATCAAATATGTAATATATTCCATTATTTTTCAGCGACCCATCATTTAAGACAGTTTGTCAAGTATTTTTTCAGTCCAAATATAAATAAGTGTATACTTGGAGTTATTTAAAAACCTTAGATGAAATAAGCAGTTTATTTTTCTACAGGATCTTTTTTCTTCCAGTTTATCTTAAATAGTAGTAAAACATGTTTTACTGTGCTAAATATGACTTGAAAAACAAAAGAACAGGCCTAAAAGATAAAAGCCCTAAAAGAAATGTTTGAAGAGCAATAACTATACCATGTGTATCAGATTGTCAGTTATTCTTCCTCAGAAAGTGTATTAAAAATGTATTTGTATGCTTGGAAAGAAAAATCTTACAGAGGACTTCCAGAAACACATCTGACTTCCAGTTGCAGGATCAGAATGTTTCAGTTTTATTTATAACCTCCAGAGAAACAAATTCTTGTGAGTATTCTAGTAAGAACAAAAGATATAGCTGACTGTAGAATTTCTAAAGCATAAATTATACTCTTGTTTTCTGTTAAACAAGTTTGCTAGTGCTACTGTCTAGCATTTTTTTCTCTGAAGTGACAGCCATGTTTGCCTGTGTGTGTGGACAGTAATGATCAGTAGGAAAAGGAGGTAAACCAAATAAAACAGTGTATCCCATTTTGTAATTTCCATGTCTGAAATGCAGTCTCTAATGAGGTGTCCCCAAACAGTGCTGCTGTTATCAAAACACATGCCCTAGATCTGAGTGAGTTTAATTATCATGGGAACAATGAAATTAGGGCATTTAAATCAACTTAAAGTAGAAAATGCAGAAGAGTAAGAAGCAGCATGTCTCAGGTTACATGGAACAAATTTTGGTCATCTCCTTTCTCTCCTAGAAATGATCGTTTTTGTTTTGAAGGGACCAATCATTTTCATCTCAAGCACATTTTAGATCAGCCTGTACATCAGAACAAGATCAGCCCATCCATAGCCAGTACTCTGGATAAAGAGTTGAGTTCTTTGCATAGACAAGCCTCCCTTAATAAAGAGGTGATGTCTGCATGGTATCCAGGTCACTGCATATGAAGTTCAGTCTCTTACGGTGATCTTGATCAGGAGAAGAATTGCTTTATTAGGGCTGATTTATCTGACTTAACATTGCAAGGAAGCATGTACTCTTTTACCAGAAAAAACCTTTAAAATCTGAGAATAGCAGGCCATCCCATGCTGTGATTAAAGTAGCTGGATCCGACATGGATGGCCATGCAGTTTGAGTCCTGGAACTTCACAGCTTAAATGCACTAGTCATGTTGTGTGTGCCCAAGGAGAGAGAAAGGGTAGGGAAGGGACTGCAGCATTACCATTTGTCACAGGGGATGCTTCCTCACTTTTTGTCTTCCTGTCTCTCCAGTGAGCACACAAACCTTCTGGCAGATTTTTTAAAAATTCGAGGATGGAAAATAAAAACGCACATGCCAGGGTGTGTGTGTGTGTGTGTGTGTGTGTGTGTGTGTGTGTGTGCCTGTGCCTCAAATCCTAAGAGGACAATGGAGGGTGAAGTGATTGTGGCATGGCTGTTCCCCCGGAGTGTGATTTCTCACTTTTTTTCCCATTTATGTGTCTCTCCAGAGAGCACATGAGCCCTATGGCAAAAAAAAAAAAAAAAGTGTGTACTGAAAATAATTCATTTTTCTGGATCTCCAACTTGGCTTATGATTTTGTTTTGCATTTTGAAACCAGCAGACATAAGGAGAACTGAACGAAGACATGGGGAGTACGTTGATCTATGATTGTCCACCTCATTGTTCTGCCTTTTAGGTCACATGTTCATTTATTAACCAATGAAAACCAATGAACCTGACAGCCCAATGTTGTGAATAACAGCTTAGTTGAAACATCTTGTTGGAATGGGGGATCTTTATTTCAAAGGCTGAATGTGTCATGCGTATTTTCATGCCTAGATCTTTTGTCATCAGATTAAGTAATATTTTGTCATTTCCGTTTCTGTTTACTTCTTGTTATGTGTAGACACACACATCTCAATTAATTTCTTTTTTCTTTTTTTTTTCCCCATAGGGCATGTGTGCTCACTCATGAGAGACAGAGAGAGAGGGAAAGTGAGAAATCATTCCCCAGGGGGCATGACTACACCATTCCCCTCTCTGGATTTTGGGCACACACGCACACATGCCCAGCATGTCTATCAAGCTGCCAGATCTGGGACTTGAACCACATTTGGCTATGTGTGATCCAGTGCCTTAACTATCATGCCACCTACTAACCCTCAATTAATCTTAATAACAAACCTTCCTAGATGGTTAAAGAAGTAAAATGATCACCATTTAAAAATATGAGAAAACTGAGGCTCAAGGGGTTAGGTCCCTAGCCTGAGTCAGAGCTCTCTTAGGGTCAAAGCCTTAGGGATAAACTCTCTAGAATGTCAAATTGATTCATCCAACATCACAGAGCAAAGCAGTGTGAAATCAAATCTTGCTTCCTAAATTATCCTAAAGGTATCACATTGTTCTACCCTAACATTTTCTTATGCATTAGTCAATATCAAATAATACAAGTGCTCAAGAGGGCAAAGGAAATAGACATGTCAGGTAATGCTAACTATTCATAGAAGCTTTCTATCTAGACACAGAAAAAAGTCTTAATTTAAAAAATATTCACATATGAGCAGAGTGCCACATATATTAGATGCCAAGGCCCTTATTCTCTAAGACTTTACATTTTGTTAAGTTAAAAACATTCTCAAGGAGGACTAATAAGTACAGTGTGACACATCAGTTAGTTACAGAATCATACAGTAAATGGAAAATATTTTGAGTTAGTGAATTTCAGTGAATTATGATAAACTATCTTATATATTGTTCACTCAAAGATAAAGAAATATGTTAATTGGATGTATTGGTTAGTTATATTGGTAGTCATAGTGTAACTATGTATTGGCATTATGACGATTTTTAAAAAGAATTATTTATTTATTTTCATTTATTATTATTATTTTTTCATTTAACCATGTGGGGGTCAGGGGCACGGAGTGAGAAAGCAAGATGCCAGTTCTGGGACTCAAACTGTGGTCAGCTGTGTGAGAATCCAGCACCTTAACCACCATGCCACCTGTCGACCCAATGCATTAAGGCATTTTCTATCTCAGGAAATGTACTCTTTTTTCAGTGCTACTGTTACATGCATAAGGGGAAAAAGTCAGCCAGTTATAGAGGACTTGTGTTTACAAATGTGCTTGCCCATGAATGCAAAGGTGTCATTGAAAACCAGGAACACTTTTTGAAACATACAACTCCAGGGTCCAGCAGGTGGTGTGGTGGTTAAGGTGATGGACCCTCACATGGCTGACCGTGGTTTGAGTCCTGGACCTGGTGGCTTGAAAAATCATGCCATGCACGTGTATATACATGCCCAAAATCTCAGGAGCGTGGAGGAAAAGGGATTGCAATGTAACCACCTCCCCTGAGGAAAGATTTCTCACTTTTCCTCTCACTACCTCTCTCTGGCAAGCACATGTGCCCATGGCAAAGCCTGAAAGAGAAAATCTCAAAACTCCCACTTAGAACATGGTATTATAGTAAGGTAACTGTACAACTTTAAAAGTACTCAATATTTAATAGCATATAGAATTATCTCACTTTTCCTCAGGGTTAGACCATTTCCCAATAATTTTCTGAGACATAATATTGAGGATGTAAAGTTGAAAAAAGGCTACATGGGGCCAGCAGATGCACAGCAGATACATTCCTGGACTCCCACATGGCTGATGATGGTTTGAGTCCCAGAGGCTTCAAAAATTATGCATGCGCTGGGTGCATGTGCGTGCATACCCAAGATCACAGGAGAAGAATGGAGGAGAAGGGATGATGGCATGACCAACCCTCTGGGGAGTGGTTTCTCACTTTCCCTCTCACTGCCCCCCCCCAGCTCCCCTACCCTCCCCCCACCGTGAGCACATGTGCCCTAAGACAAAAACCTCAAATAATAAAAGAAAAAAGGCTACGGGCCTTCATATAAGAATTTTTAAATGATTAGAAAAAGAAATAACAGGGAAATATAATTAACAATATTATAAGAAAAGTGTTTTCTATATTAATTACTTATCGTTTTCAGACCTCAACAACATGGGATTAATATGATTCCTGCTAGCAATCGTTTCCCAAGGATTTTCCTTTTTATGTGTTATTTTTATTTCATGCCTAGATTGAAAAAGAAAAAGCAATCCAAACAAAATGCAGAAACAGCCTCCGCTCTAGCCGCAAGGACTCATCCAGGGAAAGAAGATGCTAACGCAGCCATTTTAGAACAAGAGAAGTGCAACGTTGCTGTGGAAGAGGAATATAGTACTGACGAGAAGAAGAAGAGAAAAAATAACCAGTTAAAGGAGATCAGGCGTACGGAACTAAAGAGATACTATAGTATTGGTGAGTACTGATGGCACTACTGCAGTATTTTCATATTGAAAGTCTGGAATGAACAAAACCCGTAATTTGTTAGTGAACACTAATAATATATGGAATCAATCACAGTTTATTAAGCAGCTATTCCTTGTCTCAGGCCCTTGCTTTATGTATATAATTTTGAGTAAAGGGATAATAACGAATTATGTGTCTCGTTCAACTTTGTGTTCCCAGTAACCAGCACAGCGTGCCTAACGTGTATCATGTACTCATAAACATTTATCTAATTCAATGAGCATTATTCCCTGTATAAGAAAGATTTTTTTTTTTAGAGAGATTTTTGCAATAGGGCATCTGCACTTATCGGAGAGACAGAGAGACGGAAAGATAGAAATCACCCTCCCCCCCAGGGGGGTGGCCACACCACAGTCCCTTCTCCATTCTCCTCTTGGGATTTTGGGCATGCACATCCATGTGGCCAGCATGAGTTGTAAGCCACCAGGTCCAGGACTTGAACTGCAGTTGACTACATGGGAGCCCAGTGATGCAACCATTATGCCATCTGCTGGTCCCAAGATTTTTATTTTTAATGTATATAGACATAGCCATAAAAGTACTGATAGATATGCCTGCATCTTTGGGCATAGGTGGGCAGTAGAAAATGGAGAAGACATGGCCTAGCATCTGCCACTTTTTAAAAAACTACACTTGGGGGACCAGCAGATGACATAATGGCTACGTCACTGGACTCCCATGTAGTCGACCACAGTTCGAGTCCCAGACCTGGTGGCTTAAACTCAAGCCAGATGTGTGTGTGTGCATGCCCAGGATCTCGAGAAGAGAATGGATGAGAAGGGATTGTGGCGTGGCCATCCCCCCGGGGGGTGATTTCTCGCTTTCTGTCTCTCTGTCTCTCTCTGGTTTTCTGGCAAGTGCACGTGCCCTATAGCAAAAACCTCTCCAAAAAAAGAAAAAAGAACACCTGACTCTTTAGTCAGAGGGAATCTTAAGATGAGTCCTCAGTGTTACTGTTTCTCAAAACAACCATCGCAACGGAGGCTGCATTAGCACCAGTGCGCAAGTGGCATACCTAGCTTTACTTGGACTCTGCCTCTTGCACCTACTGTTCTGTCACGTGTAGGCATGGAGGATGTTCCAAAAAGAAGGAGAAAAAGAGTGTGAGGACTCAGAGCTGCATGTGGCATACAGAGCATGGCATATTGGAGGTTGCTACACAGAGGGAGAGAAAATGGAGGGAGGTCTTGAGAATATACTGCAAGTATTCACATGAGAAATGTGCTCTTGCAGGAGAGAAATGAGACACTTTCTGAAAGGCCCTAAACTTGGTCCTTGTTCATGCCAAACTTACAAGGAGACACCTATCTTTCCTCTATGTTTAACATAATTTGCTCACACTGCTCACCCACTGGACTACCATTGCTGACAGGGCTCCAACAGAGGCAGATGCGATATTAGCTGAAAGCCTATGGTTCGTAGCATTACGGTGGGCTAAGATGATTATATTATATATGCATAGCTTAATGGCTGCATCCCATATTAAGCCATTCAGTATTTAAAAAAAAAAAATCTGTAGCTGTCAACCTATTGAAAGACTTCTATGTGGTTAATAAGCTTCCTCTTAAAATGTATGTGTTGAGTATTATCCTTATTTCCAAAAAGAGGAAGAGGATGAAAGAAGAACTGCCTTTCACACCTTTTATGTGTGATCTCTTGCTGGATTAGGAGAGCTTTTTAATGTGGATTTGCGTGTAACTCTAGAGTATGAACCAATACCCTTCTCTTTACCTGCCTAACTTCCTGACTAAACAAAATCAATGGCGTCATCTTTTTTTCTGGCAATCCCTCCCAGGTTAGACTTCCCTTCTGCACTGTTAGCGTGGATTCGTGAGTCCCTACATATAGGCTGCCTTGACTCAGGGCCTTTTGTAAGTAGTAATTTTGTGTAGCTGTTAAGGTACTCTTTAAATTACAGATGCTCTTTAAATGTGTGTTGAATGGAAGAATTAATACATAGATGAATACATTTTTAAAGTTTGAGTTTCATAAAAGTTCTGGAAAGATGTAGGCGACCATGTAGTTGTTGGGTCAGAATTATCCTGTGCTTTTATATGGTAGGAGTAACTAAAGAAAATGCCGTCATAGCTTGCCATCGCTCTGAAGAAAGAACGAGAATAACTGGGGCATTTCCTCAGGAAAGTCCAGTGTTTAGATCACATCTCTAGAGGGGCCTGAATTCCGGGGTTCCTCTTCTCTCTCCCTGTCTGACTGTTGCCTGATCTCACGGGGTGTTGCCTGGATTCCCATCCCAGGAGTTGTTCTGCACCACTAGGTGGAGCATCAGACCGCAAGTCAAGTCAGCTCAGTTTAGTTCACTGCCTCTTGTGGTGGCTCTAGTCTGGAGAGAAGAGCAGACAGGACAAGAGAAGGATCTTGTTGACCAGCTAAGGGCTTGGACTTTATTCTGTTGTCAGTGGAGAGCCACTGGGGGCACTCGGTTAACTTTGTGAAGAATTTAAAGAATGAGAGCAGATGTATTGCTCTGAAATTTGAGCACGCTGAAAGAATTTGTCCATTGAAACATTAATATCTGATGTCAACGTAGTGTGAGAGAGGAAGAAAACAGAGTTAGGGCCAGCCCGTGCTGTGGTGCTTAAGGCAGCTGGATCCCACATGGCCAGCTGCGCGGTTCAAGTCCCAGATGTGAAGGATTAAAGAACACACTGGGTGCACGTACAGGTATGCCCCAAATCCTGACAAGATGGAGAAATGGAAAAGGGATTGCAGTGTGATCCCATTCCCATAGAGAGTACTTTTTCACTTTCTATCTCTCTCCTTCTCTCTCTCTCTCTCTCTCTAGCATGCACATATGCTCTCTGGAAAATTAAAAGTTAAAAAAAAGGGATGAGAGGACAGAGCCAAGAAGGAGAAGGAGGAAGGCAATGAATTTGTGTCTGGAGATGTTTTTGAGGTATCAAGTGAATATGCCTAGAGGGTCCTAGATTTCAGTTGTAAATTACTATTCAAAATGTGAGGTGGATCCATATTATGAAAAAAAGTAATCTAGAGAGGACACAGGAAGAAAAATGAAAAGTTAATAGATAACAAATAATATATATTCAGAACAAAAACAACTAAATGTGTGTGTATAACAATATGCTGATAATGTTCTCTAGCTATAGAATTTGCAAAGGAGTTTTGTTCATTTTTTTGCATATTGTGCAATATATAGTTATTTTTAATATTAATAATTAGAAAACATAGCGAACTAAATAATAGAATAAAAACAAGGACTTTGCAAAAAAGTAACATTAGACAAGTGTAAAGTTCTATGAGCAATTATAAGAAAGTAGTTACTTTCTGTAGGTATCTTATTCCAAATCCATAACATTATCTGCCTGATCTAAAAAAACTTTTTTAGACCTTAGGGTCTTGCTGTGTGCACTGCCCCAAAGACAGGGAAAGA